ACATACAGATGGGCTCGTGACCGCGGGGTGGACTTGACCATGGACACCATCGCACAGGTTATCCATGACTGTGAGACATGCGCTGCAATCAAGCAAGCCAAGCGGGTAAAGCCTCAGTGGTATGGAGGACGATGGCTAAAATATAAATATGGGGAGGCTTGGCAGATTGACTACATCACACTGCCACAAACCCGCCAAGGCAAGCGCTATGTGCTCACAATGGTGGAGGCCACCACCGGATGGCTGGAAACCTACCCTGTGCCCCATGCCACTGCCCGGAATACCATCCTGGGCCTGGAAAAACAAGTCCTGTGGCGACATGGCACTCCCGAAAGAATCGAGTCGGACAACGGGACTCACTTTCGCAACAGCCTCATAGACACCTGGGCCAAAGAACACGGTATTGAGTGGGTGTATCACATCCCCTACCATGCACCAGCCTCTGGAAAGATCGAACGTTACAATGGGCTGCTAAAAACCACTTTGAGGGCAATGGGGGGTGGGACTTTCAAAAATTGGGATACCCATTTAGCAAAGGCCACCTGGTTGGTTAACACCAGAGGGTCCACCAACCGGGCTGGTCCTGCCCAGTCAAAACCTCAGCGCCCCGTAGAAGGGGATAAAGTCCCTGTAGTGCACATGCGGAAAATGTTAGGGAAGATGGTTTGGGTTAGTCCTGCCTCGGGCAAAGGCAAGCCCGTCCGGGGGATTGTTTTTGCTCAAGGACCTGGGTGTACCTGGTGGGTAATGCGGAAGGATGGGGAAGTCCGATGTGTACCTCATGGGGATTTAATTTTGGGCGAGAATAGTCCATAAATAAATTGTATAAAGTTAGTTGTTAAATAACCCTGTCACTGTCTGTTATCACTGTTATAATTGTTATATTTTGTACCAGTAGTAGCATAGTAAGAATCGTCCAGATTAAAGAAGGATGGACTTTTTGATGAACACCTTGCAGAGCACAGCGATGATGGAACTGGACCTGGTTTTCAACAACTGGCATCCAGCAACTTCATCAAGATCAACATCTCCTGCAGACTGTGAGTTCTGGATGCAGCAAGTGACCGCCCATCACCACACGTCACCTCTCCTGCCACTGAAGACCATTACGACAGATGGAGCCTGAAGTCATGGATTACATGAACTCCACGGACACTTTAGAGTGATGATCCATAGACTAAGGGAATGATATCTGGAGACAGGAGAAGTGGTGGTGATCAACTGGACAATGGGGGATCTGGGCATGACGTAGATGGTATGGAATAAGGGGTGGATAATGTCCTGGGTTCGGCCAGGACAGGGTTAATTTTCACCAGAATCCAGGAAGGGGCACAGCCGGGTGGGCTGACCTAACCCCAACTTGGCCAAACAGAGCCGGGTATTCCATACTATGTGCCGTCACGCTGGGTTCCGTGGCGGGGGCGGTGCGGTGGGGACTCACTCGCGGCTTGGGAGCGCGCAGTGCTGGTCCTATTCGGGAGAGCAGCTCTGTGGCTCGTGTGGTTCGTGTCGTGTTTTCTCCTTATCTGTATCGTTATTGTTCCTGTCCCCTTTTGTTTGCTGTTCTGTTAAACTGCCCTTACCCCGACCCCGGCCGCGTGGCGCTTTTGTTGCCGGCGGCAGCTGAAACCAAAACACTCATTCATCGTACAAATTGTTAACAAAAAATGAATGAACAGTGGCGCATCTAAGGACTCTCTAATTTGAAGGACCTCGTTGTCAATGTCCTACTGCCATTGCCAGCTTGGCCTGGCTTTTCACCACACCAAGAAGAGGAAGCTTGACAAAGGGGATCCAAATCACTGTGAAGCCATTTTCTGTTTCCTTATCCTGTTATGTCACTGAACAAAGCATAACTAGGCAGGACCTAATAGCTCCTTGGGCACCTGTTACAAGCAGCGGGTGCTGTCATGTTCAGTGTACTCTACTGCAGCCTAGATTCCCATACGTACATATCTGATTGTTTAATTCTCTTTTTTCATTTTTTGTCTCCTTCCATAAGCTGTTTCTTCTCCAGAATAAGGAGTTCCAGCCTGCTCAATTATTTTTTTCTATGGAAACCATTCCATCCCATGCATTTGATCATCATTGACTTTCTCTGAACATTTTCCGGATCTAATGTAACATCTTCAAGATGCAAGCACCAGAACAGCACACAGTATTCCAGGTCTGAGCAAACCATGGCATTAGAGACTGGTATAATAATATTTTCTGTTTTGTTCTTTTCTCCTTTCCTAACAATTTGAAACATTTGCATTTTTGGATTGCTGCCATGTACTGAGCTGATGTTTTTATGAAACTATCTATCTGTCACAATCCCAAACTTTCACTTCTGAGTGGTAACAGGCAGCTCAGAGCTCATCACTTTATTCATACAGCCAAGAACACTTTTGCCCACGTACGTAATTTCACATTCATCTACGCTAAATTTCCTCTGCCGTTTTGTTACCCAGTCACATAGTCTTAACGCCCATCTACAGTTCTATGCATTCAGCCCTCACACTTCCTACATTGAGTTAATGTGTATCCTAAGCAAACTTTTCCACGTCACTGCTAAGACCTTTTTCCAAACAGTTGTTGAGTTTGTCAAGAAGAATCAATGCCCTGCAGAATTCCACTGATAATTCTCTCCGTATTACCACTGTGCTCACATGGTTGAAGGTTTGGGATGGGACACGACTTTGGTGCTGGGGAATGTGGTATTCAGCACTGGTCTGTAGGGTGTTACAGAACTATGTGGTCCCTTAGCTCAGGCTTCATGGACAAGAATCATTTGCAGTACTGTACTGTGCTCTGTCTCTTGCAACGGGATCCTGCGCAGCAGCTAGAGCTAATCAACCTGATCTGTGACTGCTGGTTCATCTGTGCTGGACACACTGGTCAGGAAGCAAGGGGATTATCTGGCATTTCCCAGCAGTGGAGGACTATGTGTTTTCTGCCAAGATCCTGCATTCACTGAAGTCCTCTTGAAAGGGATTTTTTCTACATGCAGTCCAGCCATATGGCCTTTGCCTGTCATGTGATTTGACTCCCATGTTAAATATCTCCCTTCATGTGATCAGATACACAGTCTCACGTGTAAGGAAGAATAAGCTTCAGCAGTCTAACTTCTAGTAGGAGGTAGGATGCTAACAGTCTTTGCCAAAGGAATGCATCAGGGCATAGAAGAAGTATTTTAGAGCAAAGGAAGTTCAACAGTACACAGCCTCGTAACCCAGTGAGATAGGACCCCATACAGCAGTTTAGTGAGGAAACTACATAAAAGAGGAGTAGAAAGTTTATGGAAATATTATTTGGTTTGATATACACATGCAAAAAAAAGAACCATGTATAGTCATTGGAAGTGAGTGTACCAGCAGCAGTTACTAAAGCAGATAAAATCTGAATGTTTAAATGCCTATTGGTTTTTATTTGGTTTGCACATCATGCGCTTGATTTATCACTGCAGTAACAGTACACTTAATTTTGTTGTTTGCATATGGGAAAGTGGGTATGAATGTTTCCAAGTCAGCAAGGAATCATCTCCAAATTCCTGAAGTGTGAAAATTATTGTATCTCTGAATTTGGGCTTGTACTCTTCACTGGGTTGTGTCTGGATGGCATTTGTTACTATCTGGGGAGCATAGATTCCAAAAGCGTATTTTGTTTACCATATGCAATGAAGGAAAGGCAATGGAGGATCACCCATCTACAAGAAGGCCCATAAGGAGGATCCTGGGAACTACAGACCTGTCAGCCTGACCTTGGTGCCGGTTAAGATTATGGAGCGATTCATCCAGAGTGCGCTCACCAGGCATGTGAAGGACAACCAGGGGATCAGGCCCAGACAGCATGGGTTCATGAAAGGCAGGTCCTGCTTAACCAACCTGATCTCCTCCTATGACCAGGTGACCCGCTTAGTGGATGAGGGAAAGGCTGTAGATGTTGTCTACCTTGACTTTAATAAGGCCTTTGACACTGTTCCCACAGCATCCTCCTGGAGAAACTAGCTGCCCATGGTCTGGAAGGGTGTACTCTTCACTGGATAAAGAACTGCCTGAATGGCCGAGCACAGAAAGTGGTGGTGAATGGAGTTAAATCTGGCTGGTGGCTGGTCACGAGTGGTATTCCCCAGGACTCAGTTTTGGGTCTGGACTTGTTTAACATCTTTATCAATGATCTGGATGAGGGGATTGAATGCTTCCTCAGGAAGTTTGCAGATGACACCAAGTTGGGCGGGAGTGTCGATCTGCTCGAGGGTAGGAAGGCTCTGCAGAGGGATCTGGACAGGCTGGATTGATGGGCCACGGCCAACTAGATGAGGTTCAACAAGGCCAAGTGCCTGGTCCTGCACTTGGGTCACAACAACCCCATGCAATGCTACAGGCTTGGGGAGGAGTGGCTGGAAAGCTGCCCAGCGCAAAAGGACCTTGGGGTTGCTGGACAACAGCTGGCTGAACATGAGCCAGCAGTGTGCCCAGGTGGCCAAGAAGGCCAGCGGCATCCTGGCTTGTGTCAGGAATAGTGTGGCCAGCAGGAGTAGGGAGGTGATCGTGCCCCTGTACTCGGCACTGGTGAGGCCGCACCTGGAGTACTGTGTTCAGTTTTGGGCCCCTCACCACAAGGACATTGAGGTGCTGGAGCGTGTCCAGAGAAGGGCAACGAGGCTGGTGAGGGGTCTGGAGAACAAGTTTTACAAGGAGAGGCTGAGGGAGCTGGGGCTGTTTAGTCTGGAGAAGAGGAGGCTGAGGGGGGACCATATTGCTCTCTACAAGCATCTGAAAGGAGGTTGTAGTGAGGCAGGTGTTGATCTCCCAAGCAACTAGCGATAGGACGAGAAGAAATGGCCTCAAGCTACATCATGGGAGGTTTAGACTGGATATTAGGAAAAATTTCTATACTGAAAGAGTGGTCAGGCATTGGAACAGGCTGCCCAGGGAAGTGGTGGAGTCCCCATCCCTGGAGGTGTTCAAAAACATGTAGATATGGCACTTCAGGATATGGTTTAGTAGGCATGGTGGTGTTGGGTGGATGGTTGGACTTGATGATCTTAGAGGTCTTTTCGAACCTATAATTTTAAGTTTCTATGATTCTATGATTCTGTCACTATGCCGTTGAAATGTTGT